ATATCTGTATCTTTGTTTCTAATAAAGCAAAAAATGTAGTATTGATGATAGTTTGCCTTTACTCATTTTTAACAATTATTTTGTTTTCATGATTTTATTTCACAATTTTTAGGTATGAGGTTTCTGAAAAAAGAAGGGCTGCTTTACTTAGCACGCAGTCCATTGAAGTGGATGGTATTTCAACTGACCAAAATGGTGACACAATAAAAACGACCACGTCTGATTTGGTTCTTTCACTTCAAGTAAATTCGTTATCCTTGCTACCAACAATAATTTCTGTTGAAAATAAGCCAAGAATTTCTTAGTTCTTTCTGTTTCAGGGCATTTTTCGGCCTCTGAGTAATTATTATGCACTACCCTTTGATATGAAAGGGGAAAAGTATAGGTCAGTGGAACACTATGCTTACCAAAGACTTTTCGATGCTCTCCGCCTCGATGATAAATGCATTGGTGAGTCAAGAACTGTTTCGGAAGAGTGTTGTCTTAAATAATCAGCGTTTATTAGATGCAGTTTAAATTTTGATATTGTATAAACTTCACTCATCATCGTATAAAAAGTTCCTTAATATTTTTCTTAAATGCAGAAAAAATTCGAACCACCGTAGATCCAACAGATGTCGCGCTTGTTGCCAGAAGAGTTTTCAAACAACAAAAGGTATTTTTATTATGATATGTTTGCAACAAGTACATCAGCAATTGCTGAGTCGAAATTTTTTTGTTCTTTTTTACTCTATTTATTGTATATAACAAATAGAACAGCTTAAGAGTTGGATCAGCGAATCTGCACGGCAGAATAGTTGACATTAATGCCAATTGAGCGTATCAAGTTGAATACTTGTATCACATTTTATAGCTGAGTGACGGAGCAGTGGATTCAAAGATGGGTCGTCTAGATCGATGGCGTCAATCTGCCATGAAACATAAGGTTTTTTCATCTCTTTGAAATCTTTATGACGAGGCGCAATCACATCCGTTTAGTTCAAGTAATTTTTTTCCTTTTTACAGATGACAAAAAATGAGGCTCTGCAACAATTGCTGCTTTCTACTGGGCATGCACTGTTGATTGATACTACGGAAAGTGACAAATCATGGGCATCCACAGCGGATGAATTCGAATTGCAGCATTTGTTCACGAAACGGTACATTCTTCCAGGCACAATCATCGATTGGATGACGGAACGAACAAAACCTCCATCAGCTCTTTCCCATATCAGAGTTTGTTTTATTATCAGGAGTATTATGTAATATTTTTTACTTTACTATCGATTACTAAGTGAGCGACGGTTGACACTGATTAACGAAAAATGTAGTGTTATTGACTACATCAATAAACATAGCCTTTCGCTTGTTTTCGTATGATATAGCTAACTATATCTCACCCGTTTAACACCGTTGATGAGAAAAGAAAATAAAATATTACGGTGAGGAAGAAATTAACTTATTCTAATTTCAGGGAAATAAAACAGGACTTCTACTGATGGAGTTGCGTTCTAAATTTGCTGCGTTGTCGCCGACACAAAATCGTATTCCATTGGTGTCACCGCTGGTAACAGCAATGGAATTAAGAACCTTGCTGTCAGCTCACATGATTTGCTTCACTGCGGAAAGTGTTTTCCATTTTTTATATCCAGCACAAATTCGTTTGCCAAATTCAGCAGAAACGTTACCTTCACCAGCTCATTACATAGCTAAACAAGCTATAAGGTGCAGAGGCAATTTCTTTGTTCATCAGTCTTTTGATTTTGATCAAATTTAGTACAAATCTCAAAAAAATTTTAGATATTTATAACAAATTTTTTTATCGTTAAATGTCGAACAGGGCGAAAGATCTTTAGAAGGGATTTCAAAAATACTTTCGATAAGTTGTATAAATCCGGTTAGATCGTAAAGTGGAAAAGGGAGATTATTTCCTCGATTATACTTGAACATTCTGAGTATATTTTATTTCAGGTATTTTAATATTTGTGCAGAAGAGGCTGCTTATATAAGTGAAAGTATGCACAGTACAGAATGTTGGTATAGGATGAACATTGCAGTTGAATCAAGTAATCCAACGCTTGACAAAGTTCAGGTGGAAACAATATTTTAAAATTTCCAATTGTTATCATTTCTAGTCGGATCTATCACTTTTCAGTGTTTACGAGGAGTTCTTCGTATTCATGGTATTGCAGTCGTAGTATATGGGCTTTATTTTCCTCGTGGGTATTATTTGTCATTCTCTTCTTGTTTTTGAACCTCTTATATCATGCAGAAGCTTGGTTATCAAATGCACTGTTGATAATCGAACGAATGGTTTCTTTGTCAATAGAAATTGGTTTGCAGGGTTGGTACATGGATGAGCGTCAGCGAGCAATAAAAGTTGCATTGACGATGATGTTTGAACAACATCCTCCACTCATGAGGGCATTATTAGATACGGGAGATGCGCTGCTAGTTTATTGTTCAAGGTATTCATCGCTCGAAGCTGAACTCACTGTCGGTATGAGAGAACGAGATTTACGCTCATGGCTAGCACAAATTGATATCGATACCAGACAGGTTATTTTGTAGATTACATGAAAAGTATCTATTTGTTTTGTATGTTTTTAAAGTTTTTAAACGATATGATAGAAAGAGATATTAAAATACAAATATCTGATTTATAAATTAGTGACGACGAATAAGATATGGTTGAAGTAATTCCAAAAATTTGGAGCTTGCATGCCAATGATTGGAAATGGTAATGCATATATATTTCTTTTTGATCTAGGTCTTGTTTAAATGAGAATGTTTTAAAATACTGGCATGTTAAATTTTTGGAATGTGACTTCATCTTAGTCCATTTATATTGCAGCTTTTTGATTCAACAATCCGTCCTTTGGCATTTCGGCCGCCATATCTTGGTGGAAATCGATTAGGATTAATCTTGATGGAAATAAGACGAGAATTTATGTTGCGGGGAGTTTTTCCACAGCAACTTCCCGAACTGCAGATTGGCATTGAAGCGGTTCATTTTTGCAACATACAGCAGACTTCACAATTATATTGTGCCAGTGATTCCAATTCCATTGTAATTCTTTCAGGTTCTTGGTTCTGAATCACCAGCTGAAAATTATGTATCAATTTACCCGTTTGACGTATTAGATCCCGACAATTTCTCGGCGCTTTGGACAAGTAAGCGTTGCTATGTAACTTGCTGATGCATTTTGCAATCATTTTTAACTGCACTTCTTCAAGCTATAATTTTTTCTTTTATTTTTCATAAGTGAGCCAATACCAACGACTTTAATTACCATCTGTTGAATTACAAAACTCGATGATTTAATTTCAGTAACTTTGCTCTTTGTTGTAAGTCTAATAAGATTTTCTTTCTATTATGAGGAACTAATTATTCGGTATAGCAGTAATAACATTATTAAAAAAATAGGCATATTTAAGCTAAGTAAGCCACGTGTTATTACAGATCCATTTCTATTGCTCGCAAAACAAAACAAGGACGGCGAACTTTGGACGCAAGCAAACTCGGTTAAGCTGGCACCAAAATTAATATCAATCAATGAAACGACACTTTCTGCTATAGTTGATGGTATGCACTTTCAGTTTTATCGGTCACAGTGAGTGATGTACATGAAAAATCATAAAATATTGTCATTTCATGATAAAGTGATGACGGAACGAAATTCTGATTTCTATTATTTTTAAGAAATTCTTACGTCTTATATTTCCTAACTTAAATTGTTTTTGTGGCATTTCCTAATTTGATTTTATTTTGTAGAGTTGGATGTTATGGAAAAAGTTACAGAAGAGGACCTGGAAAACTACTCCGTTGAAGATCTCCGTGCTGTTTTCGTTCGCTTAGCACTTCGAATGCGAAATCGTTTAGTTGAAACTGAGGCGCAGCAAAGCGAAATGAATCTTTTAGCAAGAGAAATTACCGCAATGCAAAATATGAGAAGGTAAATGACTTTTTTGAGTGAGTTCAAGAATGAAAGCTTCTTTTCCAGATGCTAACAAGTTGTTGCCAGGATTATACTGGATGTAATTAGGATTTTTCTTAAATTTCAGAGCATTGGAAGAAAGGAAAATACAGTTGGAAGGAGGTCCTACGCAGGAACGAATAGAAAAACGAGAACTCCCTCCGCCGTTAGCTCGGACGGAGCTACCGGTACCTTTAATGCGTGGCTATTCCCCACCTCGGAAATGGGATGAAAAACGTAAGCCTATGCAACGACGATATTCACCTCTTGAGGAAAAGATCCCACGACGTCGTAGTCCTGTTCGACTAAGATCACCACCTACTCCGCATATATCTCGTAAATCGTCGCCTTCCTCAAAATCACCGCCGAAACAGCAGAAAGTGATGAAACCTCCCGTTGATGAAAGCGAACTGTCCGATGGAGAAATCTTGAGCGATTAATTTCATTCTTTTACATATTAGGCAAGTATTATAGTATCCTGGGCTGACCTAATAGGAGTAAAATGGATACGAGGCCTACAGCAATACGTAACGCAATATTATATCTTGAATGACGGGGCCCACACTATACAACGTAATGAAGTATTTTAACTTGAATGACATGCTGAGGGAAATATTTATTTGGTTGTTCCATGATAACTCGTAAGGGTTTAATTGGAAAGGAATTTTTTACAAGTCAAAATTTAGCCATACCCTCCATGATTTTGCGATCTCCTGTGAACACTCAATGTTGTGTATATATTGTTATTGTTAACAATTTTAAATTTTATGAAAGAACTGAAATGAGAAACATTTAAATTAAAAACTTGAAACTTCAAAGCATTCAAAAGAGCTGCTTGTTTTTTTCAAAATCTCGCATTGAGATTAGCAGCGAAGTCAGGGATTTAGAAGATTCAAAGATTATATGAGGCATTGGAACTACTTTCTTCGTTAAAAAACTTATCAATTTTTCAACTGCCATTCGGACTTTATTGATGATAAAGTTTTATTACCTTATTAAATATGTGGAGGAAATATGCTAATTAGATACACTGCATATGAGAAATTAAATGCCTTTATTTCTCCAGCCAGTAAGATCAATATCAGAATCATCATCGCTTATTTGTCCTGCCACTACTGGTTCAGTATGTCTTCCATTTTTCTCAACTACCGTGCTGTACAGTTTATCTCGCCGCAGTTCTAACCGATTTACTCGTTTCCATTGGTCAATCTGCAAAATAGGTTCAACATATTTCACTAGCTGTAGTTGAAATTCTTATTCCAACAGAAGTAAAGTTTTAAAATCATCGGCCGTGACAGTAATGTACCTGCTCATTAATAAGCTCGATATCATGCTCAATGGCCACCACATATTCTTCATTTTCTTCGCGGTGCTCTTCCTCCTGTTTTGCTTCATCCAGCTCTTTCATGAAATCTGTGTATTGTTGTTCTATATTTGCTTGCTTTTCTATGGTGTCAATAACCTAAAATATGCCCGCAACTTAGTCATTGTTCCACAATCAGGCAAATGATACTTTATTATACGATACGAAGCCAAAGCACTTAAAATTAGTGCTTTCAAAATCAGGGGTTTAAGCCTAGAAAAATAAGTTTCACCCTGTTTCTAAGCTCCACGTTCTGAATAAGTATACGTTAACTGAAGATAGTACAAATCCTAGTTAGATGTTCCACAAGCGGTGCAGTCCTCAGCATTTTTGTCCCTACACACTCCTTAGTTTCAATATTTCAAATAAAAACCGCTGTTTTTTTTTGAAAAGTTAGCTTACTCTACTATTCAGTTTCTCATCTTCGAAGAAACCTTCAGGCACTCCTTCGATGATATTTTTCTTTTGACCGTATGTCGTATTACTTTCTATCACCTTTGACTTAGAACCTTTCTCCCATGGAGTACTTTCGTTAAGATCTTTCGAAGTTGAATCTTTCACATCCGCTGCAAGAAGAAAATATTACAATTAGAAAGTTCAAGTCTTAATAATAAAAAAACATTAAAGACTAAGTCTTAGTGAAGAACATAAACCACGCAGAAAAACATATTAACCTTTTAGCTTTTTTAAAGGTGCTGCCAAGAGAGATGTGGTTGGCTCTTCAGGGTTTCGTTTGGATGAAGTGGCATTGCCGGTTGCTGCTTTCTTAAAATTGGCAATATTTTCTCGATGTTTTCGACCATTTGAATGAGCTATCCATAACTTACTCTTCACCTTCAAATTTTGAACAGTTTACTGGATCGCTTTCTTACTAGATATGAAAATTTACATATTTCTCGCTATTTCCGCTGGAGAAGGTGTTACGGGATATTTATGAAGAAATGACTGTTAATAGCAACTGATAAAGCAAAGAAAAAAAGCAAAGCAAAGTAACCTGTGTGTTGCAAATAATACAAAGAAGACAGCCATTATCTAGACTTCTCGCTATCGCCGGTTGAACTTTTACTGAGCACGACGCTGCATGCATCCTTCACCTGCAATACATCACGCTAACCGTACGTCTGCAGAATTGCTCCCCAACCTGTCCATCGCTTAGCGGCCAACCGCTATTTACAACGGGTATTGCTGAGAAATAAAATTGGAGCTGTTTCGCCTCAGTCGAGGGTATGAGCGGGGCAGTGAACAGCGCATCCGACCGATGGGTCGGGGTGACTATCTGGTGGTGTGTTGTTTACAGTCTCCTAACTGAATAAAGGATGAAGAGTAGGATCGGTGTAATTATATTCTCTTTTAGTTTGTGTTTGTGTTCTCTTTATATCATATAAAATGAATCTTAGCAGAGAACGATCGTTTGTACAATGTCCGCGGGATCATCCAGAATATTGGCTAAAAAAGTGCCTCAGCGGGTTGTCGATGTAGCAGAAGAAGTACAGGATTGGGAGAATCATATTATTCTTAGGTTTCCTGACAGTGTCGTTCCAAAAGTCAGTAAGTACTACTACTTTTTTAGCCGGCGATGTTTTTTCGAAAAAAACAAAGGGAAAGATATTCAATTTCAGAGAAAATGATTGATGAATCTGGCGACAATGATCTTGCTATTGGGTTCCAGCCAGATATGCGAAATGCAACCATACAATTTCAGCAACAAATCATGTCTGCAAAGTTGTTTGATCTGCCTTGCGTTGTTGAGGTTAGTCACTCAAGCAACTTCTTATGATGTACAAGATGAACTAGTGCTTAAGTTTCAGAAGGATGCAGAACTGTGTGCTATCAAATTACAAAGAGTGAAAAAATGTAAAAACACGCATATTCCATGTACTAATGATATACGCATGATGTTCTTAAAAATTATTTTATTTCCTTTTATATATTGTAGTAAATATAGAAAAAAAGCAGCCAAAACCTATTGAAACTAGCACTGTAGCTTATTGAAATTAAAATGGTTCCCGAAGTAATTCACTTATCATCAGACGGTAGTCTATACTTAACTGTCATTCCATAGAGTGTTGAATATTTGGTTTAACAATTATTCGCTATTTACAGATAATTGCTCTGCTCTGTCTAACCGTCTCTAAATTTTAGGTGATGAAAACCATCGATAAAAAAAATGTTTATAAGGTTGCGGACGCATCTCAGATTATGATCTGTTCGTATGACTTACAGCCTATTACAGAAACATCGCCTCAAAACGATATATCAAAATCGAAACGCGATAGAATGTGGCAATGGCCTCATGGACGTGGGCTTTTTTCTTATTATTTTTTTATTTAAGAATGTTTTGGTCAAATAAGTATCGAAAAGAATATGTTTTAATAGATTACAAATTCTCCATCGATATTTGTTCCATTCGTTTTAGTCACTCCCCCAATGAAAAGTGTAAGGAAACGACGTTTCCGGAAAACGAAAAAGAAAAAATATATGGACGCACCTGAGGTTGAACGTGAACTCAAACGTCTCCTAAGGGCAGATATCGAAGCCACTTCAAGTAGATGGGAAGTAGGTGTAGTCGTGCATTTTTGCCTATTGTTATGGCAGGTATTAAATTTTTGAGGCTATAGACTTTATTTATTTATAATTTTAGATTATTACCCCTGAAGAAGATACTAAAAAAATGGAAACTCCTTCAGTTTCTGTGGAAGCTCTTGTTCTTGGAGAAATTAGCAACTCAGACGACGAAGCATCGCCAAAGGAGGTTACACCTGTTGCTGTTCTAGAACATGTTTCTAAAGATAGCTAGCTTCGGGAAATGGAGTGATATCGATGTCGATGTAATTGTACGTAAGTACTATACGTTCATTCTCAAGCACACTATTCATTGCCACACACTTAACGTTTATAAAGGATTATTGTGGCTACTTATCGTCTTTCAGCGAACGTGAAATTGTATTTTTATTTACTAAAAAATAATCAAATCATTCAACGCTTTGCATACGATGTATTTGTTCAAAAGTTGTTAATATTTCCTCAATTGCAGAGCAAACAGCGATTCGAACTTCATTCTGATTCCATATCGCGAACTGAAAATTTATATAGCTGTTTCTTATATATTCCAATTAAAATGCTTTTATGAAATAAAATTTTGAAATTGTTTTGCAGAAATATCTGTGCAACGAATAGCGTTAATCGTTCGTTCATTACATTAATTTGTTTTTAAGCGTCATTTAACATAGTGTATTTATTCGCCTTCATACTGATTAAATAGTGCTTGCTAGTGTTTCATTTTTATATCTGGGTAACAAATTTCCATTAATCCATGTATTTGGCAGAATATGAAATTATCCTGGGAATTAACTTCTCTTCAGATGATTGTTCTTTTTACAGTGTGAAAGTCTATTATAGTTTTGGAAAAATATTTGCTGAGTGGTTCGAACTGTTTATTTATCCTTTATTCCTTTGTCATTTAGATCAAAAATCAAAAAAGTGAAAGTTCCGATTGGACTAGTTTTCTTCCATTTTTTCATTTATAGGAACATCTATATATTGTTGAAAAAATGGCATGTTATTGTTTTATGAGGTAGTAAGAACAAAATAACCCGCTCCATCATGTGGAGGTACTGGAATGGCGGTGTGATTTATTTCGTAAAGAACCAAGTTTATATACCGTTAGTTAATGGTGGAAAGGAGTTTTTTCCAAGTTATATTTTATGTAGTTTTTTCCGGTGTTTCCTCGAAAGTAATGCCTCAATATTTCCATTTTTGTTTACCACTACAAAAACTTGGAGATGTAAATATTCTAGCGGCGTAATCGACCTTCATTTTAAAATTTGGCTACAGATCACATGGAGGTCATGTTAAAAATAATAGGTTGTATGCATATTTCTTTTAATTGACTTTATTTCTTTATGTATCGCATTACTTTTAACGTTTTATAAAGCCGTGCTTGACTCATTTTAATTTTTTGGTGAAAGCATAAAGTCCAAGAAACCTTCGCTTATTATTCTTGAAACATTTGACCTCCACTAGTTTCCTTATAGTTTAACTGTTCCGCTGGTCGGACTTTACTAAATCTTAAATTGTCAGTATATAAACTAAATGTTTTAGTTTGTAATGCACTTGTTGTAGGTCAATAGTGATTGAACTAACAGTCCCTCCGGTGTGGACATAAACATGTTTCCTGGACAGAAATGTTACTTTCTTTACAATAAATTCGGAACTTTTTTCATCTTTCACAACTCTAACTGCATGACTGATGTATATTTCATATGAAGATATATTTCATTATCAAACATTATTTAGCTTTTATTCATGAAATTATGATTCATAAAACATTTTTTCAGCGAATTGGAATAGCTGATATGAAATTTAGTGATACTGTCATGCATTAAATATCTCGCAAGTTAGCTTTGAACAAGGAGAGTATAGTCAAGACTTGAAAAGGATTGTTTGGTTGGAGAGTACAAAATAGGTCTCTTTAAATTTTAAGTTATTTGAGATGATTATCTGAGCAAACATTTCCTCGCAGTTATTTGAGGTGATCCAAGCAAACACCACTAGTATATTTGAACGGTCCATTTGATTTGTTCATCAACAATTTATTACATATGCGCATTTCGTAAACTTACCAATTGTTTTCTACTAGCAGGCTTCCTTATGCTTTAAAAACAGAGATTTTTAACCGATTTGTTCAATAACTCCATACTTCTTTGGTGCAGAGGGTTTCACAGTAATAATTTTATCAGTATATGACTTTATCACATATAGATTTCCTTAAAAAAAGAGCTAAGATGCTTGCGGTTCACATCCATATTTTTTATTTGCTTTTTAAAAATAATTATTAATTAGTTATGCTTAATTCGATTTATTACAAAAGTTAGTTGATTATGTTGTTTTGAATAGTGCTGAAAGTAAAAAACAATTTTTTCTGAACAGGGATGGAAAATGAGATGAGAGAATAGATAACAGTATCCTGAGAAAGGTTAATAATTAGAATAAATATTTGATTGGAGTCTGAGTTCTTAAAAAGATCAATTAGTGGTATTCTTTTTATGAAGTTCATTTTTATTCATATGAATATTAGTTTATTGTTTTTTGCTAAAATACATGAAAACATGTTCTTTAAAAAGTATTTTTTTAAGGATCCTGTTTTTTAGAAGAGAAAGATGAAGAATTTTTTGAAGTGTTATCATAAGTTTACAGACTAAACTTCCACTCCATAACTGAAAATTTTTTAGACAATGAGGTTTTTTTACCCACTGTACAGGATGTTATTTTATTCGCCAATCTTGACAAAATCAATTCATTTTAGTTGTTATTCAGATTTAAATTTCAATTACTGTTGAAAGCTTGTGGATCAGAGAGCTTCAATTGGATCGATGTTTCGATGTTAGATCGAATGAATGGATGATGTACTTTTGTGCTGGTGATAAGCTAATGAACTCATTTATTGCAAAGTGTATGAGCGTCTTTGAATTATTTTTCGTAGGAGACAGAAAGAGGGATAGCTGTAATTTAAAATGATATGAAGTTGACTATGACAAATTTTGTGACAAAAGGTTCTTCCTAGTAGTAAAAAGAGAATGAAAAATTAAATCTGTTTTTTTGCGCCTCTTTTCTCTATTTTAGTTGGAAAAAATTTAGGAATACTTTTAAATGAAGATGAAAGAGGAAATGAGCTATGATTTTAACTGTAAAATGCCGTCGGAGCTTCAATCGCTGTCGATATTCAGAAGTTATAGAAGATCAATGCGTATCATATGTTACCATATCTTCCACATTTCGGAACTGTTCACAAGTAGTAATTAGTTTATTGCTAAAAAAGTGGTAGAGAAATGTTTGGTCATTAATAACGGCTGTGCATTTGTTTGTTCATTATTATTCTCATCGTCCTTCATGATTTATTAGTTACTATCTTCCTCTAATTATCTTGTTTTTGCATTTTTTTTTTATCCGTAATGGATGATGTTTTTTGTTGTTTCTTCGTCTCTCTCAATATATGAACGCGCATCCTGCCCCTTTATTACCTTTCTTTTTCACTGTCTGGTAAATTTATTATGACAGCCATTCCTTTCCTATCAATTTTTAATTTGTGATTTTCAATCCCTCGTGACCCAAATGTATATATTAGGAATGGAGACAAATAATGCAAAGTGCTGCAAAACATATATTTATCATTCAAATACTATAGGCTATCTTCAAAAATCTTGCTAATTGTTGGCACAAGGTGAAGATATTCCCGAACTATTAATAGCTGATTCAGAATATCGACGAACTATAACATTATCACTATGATATAACGGAGTTTTTGATTGCTTAAAACGATCAGGTCCCGTGCTTGATCTGTTGTGTACTTCTACGAGCTCATAGAAATTCATGTATTCTTTCTTTGGTCATAAAATTGCTTAGCAAAAACGCATACTCGTTGTAGATATTCTTCAATACAAAAAAGTGCAATCGTGTTGTTTGCTCAAACTATAGACATGTAAAATTTCGTTTTCTTCTTCCCTCTAGCTACTTTCAAATTTCATTCAATTTTTTTAATGTGAGAAATCAATAATCCGTGATAATCATTTATGATACGAAGTGTATTTCGAAGTCCTGAAAATCTCTCTTTACAATTTAGCCATGAATAAGATATCCATCTGAGATTTATTTCTCAAAAAGTTAAGTAAATTCTTTATTAAATCATACTTTAAATGAAGTAAATAATCTTACTTGTATTATTCATGATTGCCCAACAAATCTAACTAAATGTATTTGCAGCTGGTTACCTTGTCTTATTTATTCCTATCATCTAGTTAGACCATTTCTAGTTAAAAGCCTAGCAAATCTGGATCGATTGTTTACTACAGAATCAGCCATTTTAAACTTCGTTCTCTCTTCGTAGTAAGAACAATATTTGTTGGTGAATTTCTAATGATATTTCTACAGGCATATGTGGTAATTATCATAACGAATTGATTTTTGCCGCCTTATCATCTTTAACGACAGTGTATCGATAACAACAAAATTGATGCATTTTCTGGGTATCTGTATGTCACGCCAATTGTGTCGGTGGTATGGTGTCAGAAGTAAACTATTTTCTCCCATTTTGTGATTGTATTATTAAGGAATAGCTTTTAACTGATTATTTCATTCCTTGTGATGCTAAAAAACTAGTTCAAATCAATGATGAAATAATCGAAAAGTATTGATTAAATTACTAGTTTCTTTTAGATAATATTGAATTCTTAGAAAATGAAGCACTAGCTAACCAATTAGCGTATATTTAGGAATAAGAAGATTGTTTAAATTATATTTTAATTTGAAATTAGACAATAAAATAGCTTTTTAATATTTGATAATTAAAATGGGTTTGAGAAGCTTTTTGATATTGTAAAAGCTTTTTGACATGTGATCGGAGAAGAGTGAAGAATTTCTCTAGTCAGGTAAAATTATTTGTCACATTTCACTTTTCTCTTATCAGATCATTCATTGCTTAAGCAATGGTTAAACAAATACAAAAGAAAAATTTTTATCAAACTCTACTGCTTATTGTATTACTTTGTTTTTCATTAAAAACTTTCATTTTGATGTCTTAGATCTGTTCCATGTTTACTAAAATAAGTTGGGGACAAATAGGCATGTAAATGAGTTGTTTACTTAATTACTTGCTTTGAACTATTTCTTATCCATGGCTTTTAAAAATTTAATCCATTTTTTCAGTTTCCGATTTTGTAACTTCCTTATCTTTCATGTTTTTCATTATGTTACAAAAAAAATGCTCTGAAAAATTTTTATTTCTGCACTTCTATTGTCTTT